CACAGGGTGTGTCAAATCTAATAATGGGGGAAAAATGTATATCCTGCCATAGAAAAATGAACATAAAGAGGAAAGGGACACTGCATTAAAGACTTTATTTGGAGTGCAGCCATTGCCATTTCCATGAGGGAACAGTCGGCATCAGTCACTGTTCGTCAGCACGAGCAACTGGTGCATTTAATTCCAGAGCAGGGTGGGAAATGGAGACAAACAGTTAAATAACTGAACTGTGAAGAGGAGTTCAGGAATGACAATGTACTGTGAAAGAAAAGCTATAATGGTTAAGACTAAAACTCATTCCTTTCCACCCTTTAGGAGAGACTTAGTTTATGAACCTGAATGTGAAAGGTGCAAGCAGTGTATCACAGTTCAGAAGCAAATTAAACTCTCCAAAATAGCCCAGAGCCACCCAGCCTGCTCTAACTCCCCACTGCTGGAACTGTGGTAAATCCATCATAGAAATGATCCAGGCACTCCTTGTATTCTGAATTCTGCCATGTTTGCCATGTATCACCAGTAAAAGGTCAAAATAAGCTGTAAAAAGAGAAGGAAGCTGCAAAAGGTTAAGGCTATTGATTAATTGATCACTTAATTCCTGTGGAAAACTGCCTGAGGCAGGATGTGGCTGCAAAAAAAAACCCCATTGCCTCAAAAATAGAAACAAAATCTGCTGCTCTGACACTTGCTACCATCATTTTTGTTAGGTATCGTAAATTATCTCCTAACAGTACCCACAGTCTGGGCACCCTGGAATCACACTGATTGTGGTGTTCAGCTTGGCTCCAGGTGTGGGTTTGAAATGGAAATTACTTCTGCAGTGCTGTAGGAACAGCAAGAAACGGTCAAAATTCCTTTTTGGCTTTGAAAATTCCTGTAGCTGCTGTCAGCTACAAACAGCAACTGCAGGTCCCTGCAGAGGGGAAATCCTGGAGACAGGAGACCACCGAGGTGCCACAGCCTGCAGAACCCTGTATCAGATACAGATGTATGCAATGAAAGCATGTGGGAATGATATAGAGGATATAAACCTTTATGCTCTGAAGCCCCATTAACTGTGAAGTAATAAGCAGGAATTCCACTAATGGGGACCCTCCCTGTACTTGCCCCTTACAGTGTCCCATAAAGCAATTGGGTTTGTCTCCAGCAGATGCATTAGATGGTCCATTCATCTGATTTTATAAAGCAATTAGTCTGTTCTCATCTGCCAAGAAGACTTTTATGGGCCTGTCATGGAGAAGTCTCTTCAAGTGACAGACTATTGTGCTGTACAACCAGACCTGGCTCCTGCAGAGCTCAGCCTGTGGCTTTTGCGGGGGTTATTACTATTTTAATTTCCCTCTCATGTCTGGTTAAGTGACAGCTGCTCTCCACTTCTACAATTTGGCACTACTGAACTGGGCATCATCAGCCAGTGTGGGCTGCTGGGGGAGTGAAACATCAATCAAGGACCAAGCACATTAACTCAACCCTTATTACCAGGGCAAATAACAAAATACCAGGGATGGGCAGCAGAGCAAGAGGTGCTTTTGCTTTGCTGCCTGTGGAGGCTCCATGTGGCCTCCCGAGGCAGGGCTGGCTCCAGCACAGCCCCCAGCACAGCACCCACACCCCTGCCTGCTCTGGGTCCCTCCTGCCCTCCCAGCACTGCTCAGAGCAGGGTTGGAACCTGCTGCCCCATCCTGTCAGGGACCCCAGAAACATTAGTCCTGCTCCAGTGCAGAAACCTGACATCACAGCACAGCTGGGCAAAGCCTCCAATGTACCTGCTCAGCACAGACCGGGAAGAGCCGAGCTCTGGGAGTGCTCTGGTATCACCTCAGGGGAGCAGTTTAGGAGCAGTCCCTGGAACTGGGGTGGGGTCTGAGCACCGGTGGGACAAGGCAGCTTGTGAAATGCCCTTAGTCTTCAAACCAAGCGCTGACTGCAGCCCGTGCCTGGTGCTAAACCTGTCCTCACTTGCCAGTGTTCCTGCCTGGGCTCCATCCAAAGTCTGGGAGATCAGAAGCGTTCCTTTGCCCACCGCAGTGCAGGAGTGGCGCTGGGAGGAGGCAGCGGGGGAGAGCAGGTGGGCTCTGTGGGGACAGGTGAGTTCTTTGGGGGGCAGGTGGGCTCTGTGGGGACAGGTGAGTTCTTTGGGGGGCAGGTGGGCTCTGTGGGGACACGTGAGTTCTTTGGGGGGCAGACCGGCTCTGTGGGGACAGGTGAGTTCTTTGGGGGGCAGGTGGGCTCTGTGGGCACAGGTGAGTTCTTTGGGGGGCAGGTGGGCTCTGTGGGGACAGGTGAGTTCTTTGGGGGCAGGTGGGCTCTGTGGGGACAGGTGAATTCTTTGCGGGGCAGGAAGGTTGTCTCCACAGTCAGTGAGAGAGCAGAGCTGTGTGCCCCGGCTCAAAGGAGAGATTTTGCTGCTGCCTGGGGCACAGGGCGGCTGCACATCATCTCCCACGCGGGAATTCGGGGTGTGCCTTTCACATCCAGTCTCCCAGGTAAGGGCCAGGCTCCCTCCTCCTTCTTCCTCCCCTGGTCTGTGAGTGACCTAAGATGCCAAGTTACTTCCCAGTACAAGATGATGGTTTGACACCGGCCCACCTACACCCCACTTCCAGGGCTTAAACTGGATTTAACTGAGGACATTCCCCTCTATTCCTGCAGCATGCTTTGGCCAGCCCCTCCGTGCTGTTTTCCACTTGAAGAGCTAAGTGATGATAATTGTATTCTGTTTCTCCTTCCTGAGCTAATTTTCTGACTCATTGTGGGGTTTTTTCTGCTAGCTTTTTGTTAATCTAGTTGGCATGTTGTGGTTTCTTTGTTCATTATATGGTGGGGCTATATAAGAGGATTTGCCTCTGGAATTCAGGTATTCCCTGCACTGTGCTCCCCGTTATCGTCTTCATCAGCAACTCTGCTGAAGGCACTCTGCTGCATTTGGCATGAGCTAATCTTAATAAATTCGGGCTGTTAATCACTCAGACATGTCTTGCTGGATCTTTGCACGCTGATTTGTGTGTGCTCAAATAGTTTCCTGGGAGTAGGCCTGGGGTGACTCAGTGTTTCAATAATCTGAAACTGTCCCTGGGGGTTCTCCCTCCCAGGGGGCTTCGCCTGCCCAGGGCACCGCGTGAGGGTTCGGTCTGCAATGGGAAGAGGGAGAGGTCTCCTCATGGCAGAGGCTTCCTGGTGGATTCTCCCACCCCACACTGCTGGGTTTGGACCGAACTGAAGCGGCAGCACAGCCTCGGTGTCTGGGAGCTCCCCCTCAGGAAGCCTCTTCCACAGGTGGGCGGCTGCGGGACTGGAGACAGCTTGGGGGATGTTTGTAAGGAATGTTTAAGCATCTGTTTACGTGCCGAGTTGACTCCGACCCAGCAGAAGCCGAACTTCACAGATTCCTGTTTCCAGAGCCTGGCTTGGAGTCCAGCAGAGATGCAGCCTCCTGCCCCCCAGGCACTGGCCATGCCCTGGTCAAACAATGCTCAGGTCATACTTTATATATATATATATATATATATATATATAGTGCATTCCATGTTTGCCTGAGTGCTGCTGGGAGCCAGGGCATCCTCAAGTGATACAGGAGCCTTGAAGCACTGGGTGAAGTGTGTGAGGCTCTGAATCTCACTCAGGCATTGATAATTATCAGTCCAGATAGCTGAGCCATTACGGAGATTCGATACAGTCAGCTCTTACATCCTGCCCATTTAGGGGAGAAAAATTCAGCAGTGAGGAGATGCTGCAATTGACAGATCCAAGGAAAACCAGCCAGGTTCTTTCTGACAGCAAGAGATAGCTAACTACAGGGTTAGCTACCAGATTAGCAGAAGATCAAGGGAGCATGGAGAGACCCCTTCTTTGGAGTAAAGGCTTGGATTCCTCCAGAAAAAGGTTATTCAGCCATTTAAAGAAAGAAAGGAAGGAAAACAAACCTAAGAAATATTAAAGACAATACATGGCAGTTTGAGAGCTGCTCACCCAAAGCTAGTGAGGAGTGAGGAGCAGTAAAAAAGCAAATGATAGCTTCTCTTAATAATTCAATGAGGTGATGCTTATTAATTAGAGATGATTTTAACATTTTGAAAAAACTCACAATGATGTTTTTTGACTGAAAACAAACCCTGCTGAACACTGAGGGAGGACAGCACTGGCACCCAGCACAGACAGCTTTGAATTCCTATGTTCAGTAATTGTGAGCTCCAAGCAAAGTGCCTCAGGGACCAAGCATTCACCCATTCCTGCTGCCACTCCTCGTGTTCTGCTGTTTTCTTCTGGTGCAGGCATTACAGTGCACACCCAAGGTGCCCAGCTGGGGTCAAGTGGCCTGAAGCAAGGACCCCCCTCCTTTCTGTCCTTTTCCGTCTCACTGCACAAATGGAAAATAACAAAAAATAAAAATAAATCAGTCCTTAGTTTCCCTTCTTTGGTCTGGCTTATCCTCCCCCAGGAAGGGGGTGGGTGTATGTTCTTATTCCCTCAAGCCACTCAGGCCCCCACAGTGTCTCTTTGGGCAGAAGATCTGTCTGGGCTATTGCCAGCACAGACCAGGAGCCCTGCAGCAGACACAGTTGCCCTTGGGCTACTGAAATCCATCACCTGGTTTGCACCAGCTAGACAGCCCCAGAGTCCTTGGTTGCTCCTCACAGGACATTCCTTCCAGCCCTGTCTTGCCCTCCTGTTGTTTAAATGAGACTTTTACAGCAACTAGTAACAATGCAGAATGATTCCATTCTTCAGTGAGTGAATGCTACAGCCCTGATGAAATATTTTGTGGCCTTTTGTAAAGTGCCAGTGTAGCTCTCTTTACTGAATTAATATATTTATAATAAGAAGAACTTCTCAGTGGACTAGATTAATCTGTCATCGTGCCATCTGAGCCCACAGCCATGGCTCCTGGGGTGCGTCCCTGCTCCCCTTGTCTTGGGGCTGGCTTCCAGCTGCTGTGGGTGGGACAGAGACAGGGCAGGAGGAGCAGCAGAATCTGAGAGCAAAATTGCTGTTAAAATCCTTACCTCTGTTGGATGCTTTGCTATACACTAACTGCTGAGACTCCCTGTGGATGGAGTTCCTCTGCATGTCCAAGTCCTTCCTTCAAACACCTGTCATCACAGATTTGTTTCTGCTGCTGAGCAGAGCCCCACGCTATGGCACGTGTTACAGGCCAGTGGCTCAGGCCAGTGACAGAAACCCAGGTCCACTCCCTCTGGTAGCAATAAACGGGAAAACCTGAAAGCAAATCACCATGTCTGAGAAGCTTCATGTCCCCTGTACATATTCCTGCCCCCTGGGCCAGCTGCAGCATGGGTTTTACTGGTGGAGTGCTGGAGAGGCTGTGTGCCCACCACGCCAAGCAGAGGAGGGGCTACAGTAAGACAAGCCAAAAGTCAGAAATGAAACAGCAGCGCAGCAATGCTGGCTCCTAAGGAGAGACTGAAGATGCCCTTTGATGCCTCCCACGAGCAGGTAACTCCCCTCAGCCCCGTGGCTCACAGGTCCGTGTTGGCCGTCGGGAGGTTTCTGCTGGAGCTGCTGGCCTGGGAGGCAGGTCCCTTCCTGCACCTGGTCTGTTCCAGCCACGCCTCGCGGCAGGACACGGCCCTGGCTGGCAGCGCCTGGCCCCGAGCCTGTGGCACCTTCTGGCAGATGCAGAGCAGGGAGCGGAGCTCCGTGCGGAAGCTCTCGTTCAGCCAGCAGTAGATGAAGGGGTTGTAGCAGGTGCTGCTCATGGCAAACCAGTGCAGGGCGAAATAGAGCGAGTTCTTTGTCTTGATGCCCAGACTGGAGATGAGCACCACGTAGCAGTTCAGGGGGAACCAGCAGACTGCAAAGACCACCACCACCAGCATCAGCATCTTGATGCTCTTCTTCTTGTTCCTGTGGTGGGTGACATACTGCTGCGTGGTGATGTCCCCGATGGCATTGCGGAGCCACAGCTTCTTGGCCAGACGCGTATAGGTGATGGTGATGATCAGCAGAGGCAGGAGGTAAAGAAGGAGAAAGGTAGACAGGTCCAGATACTTCCAGACCAGCTCTGCGGGCTCGGGGAAATCAGGGAGGCACAGACTCCGGACAGTGGCTTCCCTTGAAAACAACAAATACAGATTTGGCATGTGGCCATTGCTGTCCCATGGGTGCTGCTGGCTCAAACCACAGTGGGGGTCTCACACTGCCCACAGCCACCTGCTCAGAGGTGCAGTGAGGACAGAGGGAGGACACAGAGACATCCCTCTGGCATGTCTCTCTCAGGCTGGACCTGCAGCCCCTGCCCTCCATGGGAGCACTCACCCTGCTGTGTCCCCCAGCAGCCAGGAGCCCCTGCCCTGCCATCCCCACCAGCACAGGATCCCTGCAGCAAGTGGCCAAAGCTGCTCTGGAGGGAAGGGCTGGAGGTTGTGAGAAAGCCTCACAGGCCTGACCAACCCAGCTCCCTTCCCTTCCCCACCCACCATTCCCTTGCCATCAGCTCCTACAACCTTCCTGCTACCTCTTAAAACTGGTGCGATGATTAGTGACTCGGCTCCAGTTGAACCACTGACAATTAAGTAACAAAAGAACTGAGTGTAACCATACACAACAGCTCATTTTAACAACTTATACCTGTCCCATCCCGAGTGTGTTCTCACTGCCTGGCCAGCAGTGGCTCTCATCCCATCACCCTTCACTGCACTGAGTGTCCCCTCCACACCCTGCAGCTGGTGACTGGAAGTGATGGAATTCACTTCCAGTGGATGCTTCCTCCTTTTCTTTCCTTTTCCCTTTATTTTTCTTTCTCTTATTCCATTTTATTCTTCTCTCTTCATCCCTTGTCCTTGGTTCTCTTCTATTCAGCACAGATTTTAGCCCCCCATCAAGCTTCACTATTCATTGCAGATATTGATTAATATCTTTAATATCCTGTTTTCAACTGCTGGAGCTGCCTTTTGTGCCACAAATAAGAGATTGCTAAGAACAGGCAGCTGGAGCAGGAGATGAGGTCAGAGGAGGGTCAATGGGTCCACCGAGTGCAGAGGACCCAGAGATGCCACTCAAGAGGGGAACTGACGCAGAAGAGAAAATCATCTTTTTCGAACTGCAGTCTTGACTTTTCCTCCCCTGGATCTGGGGGACCTCACCACTGGCACAGAGGACTCGCCAAAGAGGATCTGGCAGGACATGGTTTTGGTGAATTCTGATATGATCAGGGACTCAGGTGACTGCTGTGTAGTGCAGCCAGAGATGGATGCTGCTGGAGCCCCTGCTTCCCATTCCAGAACCCTAACCAGTCCCTGGCAGGAATCCCAGGAGCCCTGGCCCTGCAGGAGCTATTACAAGCAATATTACAACAGTGATTTTTTTTTTTTTCAATGGAAGGCAGGGACAGGAATAGCATGTCCTGGAAGTCCTTATATCGCTGAGCTGCCTCGTGCCAACACAGGGCTCAGTTTCCTCTGGCCATGCCAAAGGATGAGCAGAGACAGGTGCCCCGAAACAGATCGTAGGTTTCGTTCATTCATGAGCAATTTGTTCCCTAATCCCCAAGCACAGCTGCAGAGCAACACAAGCACAGAGTAACCCTGCCCTGTGTTTACAGTCTGGACAGTTGGAGGTATGACATCCCCTGGCTATCTCAGGCACATCAGGCACAAGCACAGGCAGGGGAGGGCTGTGAGGCCCCCATCACACTTCCAGCTGGTGCAGCCCCACGTACACCAAAAGCACAAACAGCCTATGCAGGCACTCACACTCTCCTGCCTCACCAACAGGAGGGATCTGGCTGGGCTGCAGGAAATTAGATTTGTCCTTTATACAGAAGGTCAATGCCTACAACAGAAGTCTCATTCCTGCTGCCTGTCACAGTGTCTCCTTGCCCCACTCCCTGGGATGCTGATCTCAGCCTGAAAATACAGGTCATGGTAAGATTATCCCCTTGGCCTCGAGGCTGGCATTCCTGCGAAGGGCAGCACCAGCAGCGTGACACCCGCCACAAAAATCCCACTTGGGTACTGTTACGGACTGTTTTCTAGACAAGAGAGGTCACAGCAATGCCACAGGCTGGTGGGGACAGGAGGGACAGAACAGGTTGGGTACCACAGAGGAAAGGACTGCAAGGACAAAGAACCCCAGAGTTTGGGTTTTGTATTTCTCCCTGGCAGAGGGTGACAGCAGAGACAAGTGCGATTGCTGGGCCTTTTGTGGGGAGATAAGCTTCTGCTTTCAATTTTTTTCTTTTTCTTTCCCTCTACATCAGAACCTTTTCCTTATTTCTGGTATTTCAGTCCTCATGTGGATGTGAAATTCCGTGTCATCAGCTGTCATTGTGTTCAGCCAAGGAAAGGGTTCCTTTTCCTGAGAGGAGGCACTATGGCACACCAGGAGAGCTCCAGCTCCTGCCAAAGCACTGGTCCCTCACTGGGTCCCTCCCAGCTCCACAGTTGTCCCCCCACAGCCCTGTTTCATGAAGAAGGGGGTGGGGGCTCCTCTTTGTTTGTCTCATTAGTGTAACATTGTGCAGAGGAACCTCATGCTTCAGGGAAGGTAGGTCCTGCTTTGTAAATCCACATGGGGGAAATACAGGGAAGTCACAACCTGAGACTCAGTGTATGAAATCCTGGGGAAGAGGGATCAGTAGCCCTGCTGACAAACCAGGGTGGTCTCCTGCTCCCTGCAGAGCCTCGGTGGTGTCAGCACAGGTATTCCCAACAGGAGGTTTCTTTTCTTTCTTTTTGAAACTGCAGTTTGACTCTCTCTGTCTCCTCCCTTCCTGAGCGAGTTGGATGGGCTTGGTCTTGCTGGGTCTGAGGAACCGAGCAGGCAAAAGGAGGGAAGTGGAAAGTCCCTCAGGAGAAAATTACCTTCTTGGGACAGAGGCTCTCATGGCAATGCCATGGCACCGGAGGAGGTGTGTGTTGCCAACAGCTGTGCCCCAGCCAGGCTGTGCCTGGGACTGCCCCAGCACATGGCTGGGAGTGGGACCCAGAGCCTCATCTGGGCACGCAGGAGGTGGTGAGAGCAAACTCCAGACAGCAGCCCAGGCAGCTCTTCCACAGCCCCAGCCTCTGCTGTGGGAACTGGGATGTCACCCACACCCCAACTCCCTCTCATTCCAGATCTCCCCTCCCCATGCCTGGGACACTCCGGTGCCCTCCCTGCTGAGCGAGTGGCACTGCACAAGGGCTGACAGGCCTCCAACACTCACTGGGGAGAAACACTCACCTGTAGTTGTACTGGAAAAGCTTTTGATAGACAGCATGGGGCAGGGAGAAACAGGTTGCCATCAGCCAGATAACAGAGATGCTGAGAGCTCCCTTTGTCAGGGACATCCTCTGCTTCAGCGGGTTCAGGATGACCTACAACAGAGACTCCAGCATGATTCTTGTCCCACGGGAAGCAAAGGCCCTCACAGCCCATGAGGGGAGTGGGCAGTTTGTGACATAATCTAACACAGCTAATGATAGGAAAATGACAGCCATGATTAGGAAAATGTCCTATTCATTAGGATGACCTGGAAAATGGCAAACATTGAACTTCTCAGTCTGCTCAGAGAAGCTTTCAAACTTTATCCTCAATTTTGTTATGTGAGAACCATTTTCCTTAAGCTGGAGGTTACATTAGGTCAAGGAAAAAAAAAAAAAAAAAAGAAGGTATCTACCCAAGTGTCTTCACTCAAGGGTATGTTTTTTATTCTGTATGAACTATATAAGAAATGTCTCTTGTTTCAGCTGGGCCTGTGAAACTGAGCTTTTCTCCCCTCTGCTGAGGCAGAAATTCACCTTTCACAAAATTTTCTTTGTTAGATCTTTAAGCAGATAAAATCTGATAGTCTGGAACTTACTTAGTATTTGACAACAGCACAGGAAAGGGGAGTGATTGCTAGGGACAAGCACATGGCCTGGGCTGTCCTTGCTGCCCTGCACTGGACACACAGCCAGCATTTGACATGGCCATGGACAGACACGAGTCACAGTTCAAGTCTCCTGTCAGAGCCTTGCAAGGAAGAGAGGGTGGGCAGTGTCACCTGGTGCCTGTCGAGAGCGATGGCCGTCAGGGTCAGCGTGGAGACGTGGAGGGAGCAGTACTGCACAAAGCGGCTGATGTGACACATGGCCTTCCCAAAAATCCATGTGCTGTTCACAAACCGGACCTGATGGGAAACAACAGCTCATCAGCCAGAAAATCTGGTGAAAAAAAATCCATGGGGATTTGCTTTGTTTTCTAACAAGTCCCTCGGCTGGAACCTGAGCTGGCTCAGGGGTTCTGGCTGGTTGGGCAGCTTCACCTGAAACTCATAGAAAGATCAGCTAACCTGGTCTCTGAAACACCTTTATAGAAGAGTTTATAGGGTCAAACCCCACTGATTATGAAGTGGTGATGCCACAGCCCTCCTGGCCTGTTCTACAGACATTGCTTGTGAACAGTGGTAGAAACTTTTTATAACGCTAACAACTGTACTTGGAAAAAGTGGACCAAGGTTTGATATCAACCCCACTGTCAGATTTGGAGAGCTTCCATTGAAGCCTTTATCCAGCTGGCATCTCTGAAAAGCTTGACTACTTTCTTCCAGTCACCCATTGTGACTGGCATTCAGACTGTTCTGACCCACTAAGGGACTCTCTAGATTCCCCAGGAAACACTTGCTGGGGTTTGGTAGCACACATTGTGGTAGACTTTGGAGTTTCTAGGAGTTACAGAGTCTAACAGAGAGCACACAGGTTGCTGAACGATGCTTTACTTCCCTGGCAGTTATCAGTTAGAATTGGTGGTGTTGGGTTCCCACCTCAGCCCTAGGAGAGAGTGCATGGAAAGCCTGTGACCACCAGGCAGAGTTCTGGTGGGTGGGAGACTGTCCTGGTTGAAGGGACAGCAAGACCAGCAACTTACCAAGGTGAAAGGTGTGTTGAGCAGTGTGATCATGATGTCTGACACCGCCAGGTTGACGATGAAGAGGCTGGTGGCTGAGTGCATCCTCTTGTTCTTCAGCACCACGTGGCACACCAGCATGTTCCCAAAGAGAGACATGACAATGATGACTGAGTACGCCACGATTAGGAGCGCTTTCACTGTTGGTTTCTGGGATTCTGGCTCATATTTAGCCAGCTCAGCAAATTTCTCCCACTCGACAATGCGGCTCTCTGTCCAGTTGAAGATGGTCCTGTTAGTCACGTGGTAGATGGACATGAGTTTGTCCAGGGAAGAGTAATGGTCAAACTCCTCAAGAAACCCCATCACCTGCGACCTGTATGGCTGAAGCAGTGTGTGAGGCATGGCAGGTCAACGCTGGTCTTCCCTGTTGGGGAGCAGCTCCAATGGTGTGGCAGGAAGGGCTCCACACACTCTCACATAGCAAGAGCAAGAAGTTCACAGGTGAGCTCTGGGCTCAAGCAGGCTGCCTGTCCATCCTGTGCTGCTGTCACAGGAATTTCTTCCCAATGCAGAAGCCTTCACCTTCCACTCTAAACAAATCCAAACAAGTGTCTCCAGCAACGATCTGAATACTGAATAGAAACCAACACTTCACTTCCTAGATCAGACAGGTCTGTATGTGACAGTGCATACATTACAGCATAATTACACCCCTGTTCCCTGCACACTCCAATAAGGAGAAACCAGACTCCCCACCCTCACCCCCATCCCTAACCTTACCCTTACCCTCCCTCACACACCTTGCACTGCCCGAACATTTTTGATCCCGACGGTGCCGGTCCCAAGGGGCAGCAGCGGCTCCTCCGGCTCCCGGGCAGGAGGCACCGCACCACACCCCACACACCCCACACACCCCACACACC